CCCCCCCCCCTTTCCAATTTCACTTGAGCGCTGGCAAATGTGAACCTCACCCCCAACTCCCTTTTTGGCTTGCAAGACAAACCAAAAAGGACCGAGCAATAGCGGATAACTCCGAAAGAAATGCGACGTCGGAGCGCTCGGAAGTCAAGGCCTTTCAAAAACCTCATCAAACGGCTTGCGAGGAAGGAGAGCTTTTTTTTTCCTTGGGTGGGGGGTGCGGGTGGGGTGTCATTCCACTGTTTGGTGTCCGTTTGGACTCGAGCGCGAGTGAGACCTCTCTGAGCGGGATGATGAGCTGGCACAGGTCTTCTTCTCGGCTGGCGAAGCAGACGTAGTTGTTGGAGATGAAAAGCTGGCCCACCACGTGCATCTTGGCGAAGGGCGTCCACAGCGTGCAGTCCGTGTGTCCGTCCAGACGCTCGTCCGGCGTCAGGCGGAAGGTGCTCCGGTAACGCTCGTTCTTGGCCCGGGCGTCCAGATCCCTGTCGAGGAAACACCACCGGCTGAGCGGGCCACGGCGGACGGGGACCGACATTTCGGCCTACTGGCAAAAGACGGACGGCAGCGATAACGGTGACACCGGCGCGCTCATTCAAAGATGGCGGCCCACCGCGCTAGTAACGGGGCACGCGAACGGAAAGCGCAGCGGCGACCGCGGCGGTCGTTAAAGGCGGAATCGGGAAAGAGCGCCGCGCCGCGCCGCGCCGCGCCGCGCCGCACCTTTTGAGGACGGAGACGTTCTTGAGGGCCTTGCGGGGTTTGGGCAGCGAGCGGTCGGCGGCGAAGGCCTCGTTGTCCAGCAGCTGCCGCATGGCCAGGTTGGCCAGCTGCTCCATCAGCTTGAAGGCGTCGCTGATGTTGAGGAACATGGAGAAGAAGTGCTCCCCCGTCCGAGTGCTCACGCGGACGCTCTCCGGGAACAACAGGCTGGCGTTCCTCTCCAGCTGGGTCACCTCCGTCCACTGGACCACCACCGTCACTGCGAGACATCCCCACAAAGGCACGTGGGACACGCCCACTCTTTCGAGCGACCCGGGAGCCTCGGCGCGCCGAGTGCTTCGTGGCCACCGACGGCGTGTCGTCGACGTGAGAAACTCTTGGTGCCGGCGGAATATCGGCACTACCGGAAGAGCTTGTCGGCGCGGACTACAAAAGCAACAGAAGGTCGGCGCGGACGGGCGGATGGATCCGTGCCGCGTTTCTTACCGCGCTTGGTATTTCTTCATCATCGTCTTTCCGCCTATTTCCATATTGCATTGCATTTTTTTTCTTTCTTACTGCCGCTTCCTCGTTTGTCAGTCGGGGCGCGACGATCGGCTTCGTTCCATCGTACCTGACGGGAGCCACGTGACTCGGGAGACGTCGGCTTTCCCCAAGATTTTTTTTGCTCGTAAATATTGAACACGCTTCATCTTTAAGATTGGCGGCCTGACTTGTTTTTGCCTCCCCCTTATCGGGACAAATTCACACCTGAGAGAAAAATCGGGAGCGAAACAGCCCCTTTGACTTGCTGTGTGTTTCCATGGCGTCCGAGTTCGTAACGAGCTCATGACAGCATCAGAAGAGGTTCTTCATCGCTAGCACCAGAAAAGGTCACAGAATAAGGCACGAACGAGTACCATCATGAGATGGGAAGACCACGCGAGCAACAGGAGAATCTCTTGCTCGCAAAATCACAGTTGGGAGCGAGACACGGGGCGGGCGGAAGCGGCACGCGAAGCTCTTGGAAGCCGTGTCCTACCTTCCTTGCCCAGCAGGAAGGAGTAGAAGCACAGGTGGTTGACGGACAGGTAGAGCCAGCCCTGCCGCGGCACGCGACCTTTCCAGTAGCTGCACGAGTAATAGTTGACCAGCTTCATTTGGTTGCGAGCTCAACTATTTCGTTCAATGACAAGCCCTCGGCGGGGAGAGTCAGGGACCGAGTGAGCCCTGCCGCCGAGAGCGCAAATCTGAAACGCGCCCGCCACCGACAACCCCTGCAAAAAGTGAAATAGAGTCGCCGGCAGACAAATTCCTTGCGGGCTTTCACACCGTCGGCCCGAAAAGAATATCCGCCTCTCATATCGGAGGCGAGCAAAGAGCAACCGGCAGAGCAAAGTCCGCCTGAAGTGCGCTCCAGAGAGAAGCTCCCGCCGGATGGTTCCCTCCCGCGAGACGACGCGCTCGGCTCCGAGCCGGACTCCCGGAAAGGACGGAGGTCTTACCGCGGCCGCCGGAGGAGCGGGGTCCCCCCGCGGGCCGTCCGGCGTCCTCTGCAGGAAGTCGGAGATGCGCTGGACCAGGAAGTCTCGATCTTTCAGGTTGGCGAACAGGAAGTTCATTTTGTTTTTGGTGCTGATGGACACGGGACACGGCAGAACGCCGCTGCTGTCCGCCTTCTCCACAATGGACACCTGGCGGGCCGAGCCACACGGCGGTCAAGCGCGTTCGCCTCCTCGCGGGTTTTTCGCTAGTACCTCAGAAGGATTCCCCGAGAATCTCGCATACAAATTCCCATTCAACAGGCCGCTCGCGACGACGACAGAAGGACGGCTAACGGCTAGCGTCGGCGGCTCGGGGGGGGGTAGAGCGGCCAATCCGGTGAGCCGAGGCCAAACGGATCCGACGGGACTGCCGGGCCCGCCTTTTCCATTTCTCGCCGAAGGGTCGCCGCCAGAGCGGCTTTCCCGTGACACTCTACATCCTCCGGGGAAGCTTCGGCGGAGGTGAAGACACCAAAACGC